GGCTTTATCCTTACTCCCAGAATTCTGACAATTCGAGAGACCCTTGAGTTCTAGGCATGTTGTAGCACAAGATAATTAGTGTGCGGACACAAATTAGTTAGCATAAATCAGTTAAATGACGAAAAATTAGGTGTCTATTTACTTGTGACCACTCAGTGTAGGCCCAGCATGGCCCGGTGGTTAGGGCACGCGACTCGCAATTTGAGTTTCGAAACCCGTCTCCGAACATGCATGCCCTTTAAACCGTTTGGGCGTTATAATGTGACGGTCAGTCCCACTATTCGTCTGTAAAAAAGTAGCGCAAAATGAAGGACGACTAACGCAGATAGCCCTCGAGTAACTTTGCGCGAAATTAAAAAAACCAACAAATATAATTGGAATAAACAAATTTTCAGCTCTACAAGCATAAATAACCAAAGTGTTTTGTTCTAAGTGTCCTCCTCAATAAACAACGATGTGAAAACTCAAGAGTGACGAGTTACAATCTCATCAAATTATCACTTTCTCTTTAGAAAAAAATATATTTGAGCTTCATCAGCCGGTTGCTTTTTTTTTTTTTCAGAAAGGTAAATCGAGCCACTATTGAGAAAACGTTTACTTACCTTACAAAAATTAGAATTCAGGGTAACAATTTCAGTGATAAATAACTATAATTTTATCTAATTTATTCTTTTTTCATGTTTGCAACTGCTGAATACGTGTTCAAGTAAATGCACAGAGTATCTAGCCACCAAATTGATTCGGTATTCCTTAAACTTCAGATAGTAGGAGAGTTCTTTTCTGTAAATTATAGTTTTATGTTCTTAATATAATTAATACAACGTATAAAACATACGTGAGAAAATCAGTATAATCAAGTCCAACTTTTTATTTTTTAAAGTTTCATTACATTTTTTTATAGTCAGTTGGCATTAAGTCCTAATATGTTACAACATTATTATCACGTGGAAACGAGTTAATTATGCAAAATTATTATTATTATTTACACAACCGTAATTGAACGCGTTCCAAGTTAAGTGGTTTAAAGTGTTCGTTGCCAGAACTTTCATTCATAAACAAATAACTAAGTTTAACTTTGGCTTTGTGCTGCAACAAAAACCAAATTTCCGGTCTTGATACCCCCTGGGGCATCTTCCTGTCTGCCTTCTTATCGTTCTTTAACTTCAACTGCACTTACTAGTTCGCTCCGATCTACGCAACGACTTGAATAAATCATTTATAACCCTAGTTGTTACGTCACACACTATGAAACCAGAACCCAAAGACTATTGCTTTAGGCTACTCTAAGATGTAATATAGCGATTTAAGAAAACTGTGATTGTGCTAACTCAGACATAGGTATGATAGATACAAGAAAGATAATTTAGAGACATGATGTATACGATTGACAAGCGAGAAACAGTAATACGACACATTCGAGCGTTTCAAGTAATCCTGGTTCCTGCGATCTCGTTATCATTAATTATTAATACCATGACGTGAAGATATTTGTTAAACCTTAATCCTGTGAAGAACACTTATTCGGTAGCATATAACCTTGGCTTTGGAAGGACTTCAATCTTTGAAGTTAATTTGATTCAAAACAAATCAAAACATATTTATGCCCTAAATTTTAGTTGAATATGAAAATAATTTTTTTTATTGATGATTTTGACCATTCCTAGAAACTTAAAGTCTGAATTTAATCTAGTATATATACGGATCCACAAATATTTACAGAGACGAGAATGAATAAACATACAATCAAACTGAACTCGTCTATCAACTCACAAGTTACCCTCATATACATTCGTAAGGGTACACACATAACACTATTAACATTTGACACGGTAACAGTTGACGAAATTAAAGTCATTAGTTCTTTTCTAGGTTGTAGTTAATCTAGTATATACTATCTATGTTTAATGACGTTAATCTCGACGAAGTTTTGTAAAAATTTAGGTTTCTTATAATCATTTACTTTGCAATATTTAACAAATACTTATTCCTGTTTCCATACATAAATAAAATTCAATTAACTGAAATGGACAAAAAGGAATAGTTGTTTAAGAAATTGGTAAAAGTACCGTAAAAAAATATTCACCATTCGTTTTACAACAGCGCTGCCATCTATTGGTTATGATATTATACATTATACTTTTTTTTTTCAATTATAGCTCCAAGACGGTTCAGCGATAAGTCTGGGGCTTAAAACACTAAAAATCGGGTTTCGATACCTGCGGTGGGCACAGCACAGATAGCCCAATGTGTAGCTTTGTTCTTTTCAAAATTACTAATAACCAGTTGCTTTATCTAAAATATCGATACAAATATGTAATTCTGAGAATTTAAAAAACGATGGAACAGTAATCCTTTAAGAGTATACAAATTACAACACAATTATGTGTATGACGTTCTTAAGATAAAATACAATAAATATTTGTTTATAAAAAGTTGGTTGTAATTAAGCACAAAGCTACACAATGGACTATCTGTGCTCTGCCCACCATGGGTATCGAAACACGGATTCTAGCGTTGTAAGTTGTAACATGAGGGGAATTTATAAAAAGACAATAAACTTAATTACACCCTTTCTTCATACGAAACCTATGAAACTTAAAACTCAAGACTAAACAACGTGATTTATAAAAAGACAATAAACTTAATTACACCTTTTCTTTATACGAAACCTATGAAACTTAAAACTCAAGACTAAACAACGTGATTTATAAAAAGACAATAAACTTAATTACACCTTTTCTTTATACGAAACCTATGAAACTTAAAACTCAAGACTAAACAACGTAATTTATAACTATTTAATTTTAATTTATCTAACTCATAAATTTACAAGCATATTTTAAAAACACGTTCATATAATGCTACGAAAGACGGATAGATCGATGCCAGATTTATTAAACAAACAAACTATTCAACATAAAATATTTACCCTAGTGACTTATCGGAAAATTTGGTTTCGATACCTGCGGTCGACACAGCACAGATAGCCCATTGTGTAGCTTTGTGCTTAATAACACACACACAAATGAAATGATAGTATACCTGGACAATAAACCAGAAACGGTTACTATGGCAAAAATTTTGATCTGATACAAAATAGAATCTGTTAATATTACTAAAACAAAGGATATAAACAGACAGGGTTTCTTACTTCCTAAAATAACCTACATATTGTTTACGCTCTACCTTCTCCCCCATAACAAATAATCCAACATATTTTCCTTTAAAAGGATTGAATTATTACATTCTTCTTATTGATGTCGAATAGCAGACGAAGAACGTGAAGTATTAAAACAAACCCAAAACTCATGCCCCCAGTGGCACAGTGGCATGTCTGCGGCCTTACAACGCTAGAATCCGGGTTTCG